GTGGTCGGGCTTGCATTTCACAATGACCCAACGAGTTATGCTGGTGGAACACTTGTTCCCTTGAGGTCCTACCATACCAGAAAGGTCTGTTGGATAATGGTTCGACGGAACGCAGTTACCGTTGTAGTGTAAATTACTACACTATGATGGGAGTCCGAGGATGAAGTCGTACCACCGCTAGCTAGATGGGGTGTGAAAACAGTAAGGTGTTTCCATTGGATGACCGGCAGTGCCATGCTGATGCTGCCTTCTCAATGGAACGAGGTGGTTTAAAGAAGGTCGACCCCGAAAATAGCACACAACCATACCCCACGATCTGCCAGGCCGGTGGTGTTGGTTCATTCGTCGTATCTTTTCCGCCATCCAGCCCCGAAATAACAAAAGTTCAAGGCAACTATGCAAAAAGACTGTGTGTGACAGGCCTCAATCAGATGTCCGATGGGCTCTGAGGTCACACAAATCTCTTTCAGGCACCTTAAAAAGAAATAGCCTTCCACGGTGTGGGCAGCCGGAAAGTGTCAACCACCCTCACAACTCTGTTTGCACTCAATTTTCCTCAGACTGCTATCCACCTCCCCCCTCATTACCTCCTAACCTTCCTTCATATCTCTCAATTACCAATACTACATCATCTTTGATTTCTCCTAGTTCTGTAGCCTTTGACAACGATCTGAGTTCACAGAACAGCATCCTTGGTCTCCTTAAACCAGACTCTAAATTACATATTGGAGCCTTCAGTGTCCACACCCTCCGTCAGATTGGTTAACAGACTTCATTGGCGAAGACTCTAGCAGCTTGGGGCATGGATGTGTGCTGTGTTTGTGGGACACGCATACAGGACCGAAGTGCGGTTATTCACCTAACATCTCCTGACCAATGTGGTGAATCCGGGAAATTCATCTTTCGAGTTCCAGGAGATTCGATGGCTAGCTCTCGTGGTCTTGCAGGTGTAGGCATAGCATTAAGCACTAGGGCAGAAACCTCACTACTACACTGGATCCCAGTTGACAGTCGCCTCTGTGCTGTCTGACTGAACGGCTCAGTGAGAACGAAAAAGAATAGTGAGACTCACCGCTGTCTCTTTGTAATCCCTGTTTACGCACCCACTGACACTGCCTCTTCCAGTGAAAAATTGACTAGGCAGTCATCAGAACAGAACACTATGACTCACCCAGAAGAAGCTTAGTGCCATCTCCAGTCCTCTGTAAAAGCAGCACTGAAGACCGAAGCTGACTCCGAAAGAGTGGCTAAAAGGAGACAGTGGATATCAGCAGCTTCTTCCGAACTAATGGATGCGCGTGAACGCATCCCTGCCTGCAGGCTCTGAGTACAATGGAGAGCTCTTGGTCAGGTTAACTGAAGTGTTAACCAGTATATGGGAATTAAATGCCATCCTCTCTGACTGGTCTAAATCACTGATTATCCCAGTCTTCAAGAAAGGCGTTAAGTCCTCTAGCGATAACCACAGAGGAATCAGCCCGACGAACATAGTGTCTAAAATTCTTCGACACCTGAATGGAGCTCGGGAACAGCAAGCCCGAGAAAACCAACCAGGCAGGATTTAGACCAGGTCGTGGGCGTATCGACCAAATATTCAAACTCCGCCATGTTCTGGAACACACACACACGCTTACTGAAGGCTCTCTACTCGAACACTTGTGGCCGTGTTAGAGCCTATAGTGGGATATCCGGGGAGCTGTACTCGTCGAGTGGTGTCCGTCAAGGGTGCCTACTGTCTCCATTCTTATTCAATTTCATCATAGATATTCTTATGGAGGCTTCCCTCTCGTCGCCTGATTACACAGACGTTGACCTAATCGGTGGGGAGTTTTCGTTAGACCTAGAATATGCAGATGACATTGTCGTGTTAGGTGAAGACGCTGACAAGATGCAGAGTCTTCTGAACACTTTACTTTCAGTGGCAACTTGAGAATACTTAGGATGCGTTTCTCACCACCTAAATGCAATTTGTTCCTCTAGGATTAGTCTTCAACAGTGCTTCACCGCGGCTAACAATGGAGAGTGTAGTGGTTGAGTGTGTCGACCGCTTCACTTACCTGGGAAGTAGGATCACCCTACCATGGTGGGTCAGTGGTCGATGAAATCTCTGCACGCATACAAAAGGCTCGAATGGCTTTCGCCAACTTACGCTACCTGTGGAGCCACCATGATATCCCAGCACAGCAGTTCACTCTGTTCTACTATATGCCTGCGAAACATGGCCACTGAAGGTAAAAGACATGAGAAGGCTTCAGGTGTTTGACCACCGTTGCCTTCGTAGTATGGGTCGTATTCCGTGGTGTCACCACGTGAGTAACGCAGAAGTAAGGCTCAGGCGCAGAGTTTTAGGGAGAAGAGGTAAGTCAGTTGACGAGGTTGTGAACCTTCATTGACCGAGATGGTTCAAATATGTGATATGTATGCCTAATAACCGTCTGCCTCGTCACACAATGTTGGCCGAAGTAGGTTCAGGCTGGAAAAAGGTCCGAGGTGGCCAGACTAAAACGTGGCATGGTTTGAGCCATGTGGGGTGATGCAGACTAGTCAGTTATTGTCCACGGAACAAGAGAAACCAGTGGTTGGAGACTCTAGGTGATATGGCTCAGAACCGATGTTAGTGGCCCAGATGTATACACACATTATCCTGATCTTAACGACGCTATACCGAATCTCATTATTTTCTCTTTCGACTGAAATTTCTTTTCTTCATCTTCCACTTCACTGCCTTTTTACTTGATGTACTGATATGAGGTGTGGCAACTAGGACCGTTACACAGTAATACTTAGTCGTATGTTGATTGGATGATGATGATGTTGTTAAGAGTTATTAGTTGTAAAACTTAAATGATTTGATTTAAAACCTATTACAAATACATGTCTTCGTTTCTTGGAAATTAGAAGTCTGATGAAACTCTACACTTGTTGCTTCTTATTTTTGCCCTTCTTATTTATGAATTCGCACTGTTGTGATGCTTGGTAACCTAGGAAAAATACTTTTGTGAAATGTTCCACCTTTTTATGAATTTTTATATGCAATTAATTGTTAATAACAGAACGTTGTTAATCATGGTAACTGACTACGTTCCCATTGTTTACATTTATATCATATAAGAATGTACTGCAACGTAATTTATTCATTACTTACTTTTCATCATAGACACATCCAGTCAATGTCAGAAATTGCATCTTGTTCGTATGCTGCTCGCGTCGTGAGTCGAATTAATCAACAAGCCTCACAGTTGCACACTGCTTTTAGATAAACAGAGGTAAGATGTCAGCCATTTAGATTGACCATACGCCGATGTACCCATTAAGCGACCAATCACATTCACCTTAGGCGATGTGGTACGCTGCAAAACCAATTATTCCGTCACGCCAAGGATACTACTCGACTTATACAATTTACCTGGTAATTCATCATACGTTTTCACGCGCCTGTGTCGAGAGTTTGCTGTTCTTAAGCTGTACTTAGACGTCTGATCATTATAGAATCTACAATCCTAAAAACTACGTTGATCAGGCTGACTTTACTGTAATCATCATAGAAAGATACCTCACCTTTCTAGAAAACAGGGGCAAACAGTGTTTGAGACCAATCAGAGGGGATCATATCCGACTCCCATGCACCATTGAATACCATAGTTAATCTGACGAATTTTCCTATACAACCATGCGAAAGTACCTCCCGCACTAGACCAACTTGTCCTGCTCCATTTAAGATATGACTGGATAACGAGCAACGTAGTAGTAGTTGGAGACCAGTTGAACTGTTCCTCCAAGTGCCCCATCTATCGTTCCAGTCGTCTCACAGACGAGTGAATCACAGATCCATCCTTCTCCATCGTCTCACTAGCAACCAATGATCTTCTCGCGCCAGTGCTCTCAATGTCAAGTTGCAATCGCAATGGTCTTGCTGTTGTAATTATCCTACAACCTTTCAGGTGCAGACAAACACGTACCCCAGCCAAAGTGTAATCGCTGTCCAAACACATGCTCGAGGAGGATCAACGATCTCCCACTGATTCTCTCAAGAGAGCTGAAAACAACAGGACCCATCTGCCCTCACCATCGGACATTGTCTCTCTTTATGTTTGAAGTATGTATTGATCAGACATGAACGGTTATCTGAGCACACTGGCTTGCAGCTGGCAACCGAAGATATGTTTATTCTGCTGGAACTCCAAGTGTTACCTAAGTGCCCTTCTTATTAAACTAGCCTACTTACTTGCGCAACAAAATCACCTGCTAGGACAACCGTCAGTAGAAGACCCTACAGTTATCGGTAGAGCTTATCTCTCACAGCAGACAATGTAAGCAGAGATTAAACAGAACAAAAAACAACCTGACTATTAGTTACAGTCCTCACTCCACCACCCAACCAAATATCGTACAGACCCCTGTCAAATAGGATTCAGTATTATGTATGCACTTAAAGTAATCAACCATATTCGATAAGCATTTGAAAGCTTTTAGTTATTACCGAAACTGAAAAGGCGCTCGAGAATTCCCATGGTAATTTACAACAATTACAGAACATAGAATATGCTTTGACTTAACCCAGTCCTTCAGTTTCACTATAATGTACCGAATCAGTTAATAATCAAAAAGTCAAAATAATGCTTAAAACGGTACATCGTTAATAGCAAAAAGTCAAAGATTTCTCTTCACAAAAGATTTATGACCATGACAATGTCAAAATCAGATTTAACTGGAACTTCATTCAAAAAAATCATATAGAAAATCAGTTTTATACAAAATGGAATGGTCACAATCAAATGTCAAGGGGAAATATGTTCCATAACATTTCATTCCATACAACACTTTTCTACAGAGTTGGATGATCATTTAATTGGAATTTTATTTGATCGGAAACCTCGGATGAATTAACTCTACTAATAATAGAATGGGAAACAAATAGGATTTTCGTATAACTGTTGCTGTGCAGCGTCACGTCAATCAAGAGCATTTAGAACACACAATGTGATAAGCCGTCTGGAAGTATGGCGAAATCATTTATGTCTTTACATTTCTGGAAACATAATGGATGCATGAAAAGGTTGGATGGCGGTAAATTCCGAATCTCAGTATACAAAAACATTCTTCACTTTTTTACCAATTGCGCTTTATTTCATTGTGCACGTGAACGTGACGTATGAAAGCAATCTTACAATTTTTTTCTTCTTCGAAGAACTGTGTACCTAAAGACTTTAGACACGCTATTAGAAACACTGAACGACAACAATCGCCAGTCTAATTTCCGCTTTATAGTCTGCTTCAAACAACTGCACTGATATAAAATTACTCACGCTATTAACTGAAAGCTGATTCCTGTTCACAAAAAGTGACCTGGTTCACTTTAAAAGAGATTTTCATAGCGGATCCCTAATATTTTATTTGCCTCACCCTTTCAATTGCAGCTTCACCCGAAATATCCAAGCAGTAAGTTGTGATGAACTATACGCAGATTGTACAGAATTGCTTACTCTTTCAAACAAAAGTGATTTGAACCCACAGTTTATTGATGGTAACTGGGAGGTCACATATCAAATCATCAACCCACTGACTTTGGGCAGTCACCTACGTGAATTAGTGAAAAAAATCACCGGTGGTTGTACAGCATCTATCGGATTTGGTACAAGTAAATTATTAGCACGCCTAGCAACAAAGAAAGCTAAACCTGATGGTCAAACATGGTTTCTGGGGCATTCTGGTGGAGTTTGTCCATCACTTGACAAACCAATGAAAGTCGGAAGCTGGAGATGGTATTCTTCTGTTGAAGATTTGGAACAGATCGATTCTCACCCAGATTGTGAACTTACTGGTGAGGCCTACCAGTGGTTCTCCAACTTACCTGTCATTGAAATGCCAAGTAAGAATAAACTCAGTTGATGATTGAACATAACATTCAGTGTATTTACAACTAAGTGCTTGGTTATTCCATCATCAACAGTTTGTTTATTGTATCTATAAATTGAAATGAAGTTTACTCTTTGTTTTCTCCGTAGATATCGGTCGATCTTTAGCAGGCAAAATATTCCAAGCATTCAATGCAAAAACATGTGGTGAACTAATGTTGAAAGTTTCACATAGCCAAATCACAAATTTGCTGGGAAAGAAAACGGGGAATCGCATCTACTTAACGTGTCATGGGAAGGTTTGTTGAATTAATCACCCTCTTGCTTTCTAAATGTCTTGAATGAACTTGGTCAGGTACCGCTAGCCAAAATAATGAACTTTCAAGGTGATATATATATATATATATATATATATATATATATATATATATATATATATATATTTGATGAAATAAAGATGAACAATGAAAACTCGAATAGATCACGTTTCAATACAACTGTAGGCTAATCGGATTCAATTGAGAATGTAACCTCAATAGTTTTGTAATTCTTTGGAATGCACTGAGAAGTCAGTTCAGCCATATCACTGGAATATCTTGAGTGAATAACTGTTATCTTCAGTGGTCGGAACTATACAACCCCAACGGCTAAAGGTTTAACTTTCAGCACATAATCTATCTAAGAATGTCTTGGCAAAACAAAGCGTCTGGTAAAATAATGTAGCCACTCCTTCAATTTTTCGATAAGAATTTCGGAGAAAAATAGGAGTACTTATATTGAACGAACTGATAATGTACTTCGAAGATACGAGTTTATGTACCTGAAATGACGTGAGAACGGCTAACAACACTGTGACTCTGCCACTCACAAATGATACACATCTCTCGAAGTCAGTCTTTGACAGACAAAAGAAAAACCAAACTGTATTCCTAGCAACAACAGAAGGCGGTTTGATGTGAAAAAGCGTTTACAAACTAAGCATTCTTTTATCACGTTTTGTCACTATCACTTGAACTACATTTAATAGCTATACTGACAAACACTATCTCGGAATATAACTGTAATTTGTTCACTAGAAACTTATCTTATCATATAAGAGATAACACATCTTTTGAAACATGACTAAACCGTAAACAAAAGAGCAACTTGGAGTCTATCCAACTCTATTGTGACAAAAATGTTTACATCCAGGGTTTTAGAAGTGTCTTCTTAATTCAAAGAACGTCATCAATAACTGCAACATATTTCGGAACAAGACGTAACGTATATGTGAAAGTCAACATAAAGCTTCATACACTAGCAATAATAAATTGCTACCATCGTCCCGAAAGCTAGGTCACTTTTTTCTCCCGACGCTTTGCTCAAATAAAATTTTGCGGTCACATTTCAAAAATATTCTCTAAAACCATACAAAATATAAAGCACGAAAGTGGCAAGATCTTAGGAATACTTTTGATAACAAAACCATGCAGACAGAAACTCCCCACTATTAGTCACGAGGTTCAGTTATCGTACTGGTAACATATCAATCTGACCCTAAAGTCTCTACTCAACACTTAGCAATGTGCAATCTACGTCTAAACTAACAGTAAGCCAACCTCTAACACTAACGTGTAATCCTCTTAATTCCCACTGACCACTTTAAGCACAACATACCTTTGTGGCTTAGGAAACCGGGTTGTTGCAACCATATGTATCTTTCTTATACTCACTAAATCACAGGATGTGCACTGCTTCAAGTCTGGCCATAAAGATTCAGAGATCAAGAGAAAGATATATGCGAACGACAGGAGCTATAGAAGGTAGCACAGTTGGTGACAACTGCCAAACGACTCAAACTTCTAAAGCTGTTTACCACCGAGATTTGAAATGAATAGCACAGTGACTTCATGTGTGTCTGTGTGCTGCGAAGTACATTCTCTGTGGCCATTAATGATGCCACAACATCTCCATCCAATCCAGCTTGATAATGATTCATTTCGAGTTGTCAGGAGGCGATTTATAGGCGGGTTACAACTACGAATTGTGGCTTGGCTAGCAGCTATATGACACACACATTCATACCTGGAATCGCACGTGTTCTCGATAACCTTGTCACGTATCATATTATGGAGGCATATCAGTATGATTCTCCGTAGACTTTTACACTAAACTGCCTTTGTTATGGCTAACCAGAACAGAAACACTCAGTGGGTAGTGATTTTTGAATCGTATCTTGTTTCAATAACAATTATAAACATTGTGTATTCTAAAAGTTTATCTCAAAACAAAATCTAAAACTTACATTATAGGATTTCGACAGCATGAGATTTGAAAAAGAATATAAGTCTGTGTCAGCATCAATGAATTATGGAATCCGACTGAAAACAGTAAGTATTCTCAATTTTCTCATATCTTCCAATATATACGCTGTGCTGCATTTTCCTAGCCAAAGATTTATCTCACACAAATATCACTGACTACTGACCAATAACTCTTGTTGAGACTATGAAGGAATAATAACAGCACACAAAGGGACTTGTTTGAATATAAAAGTGAAAACCTCAATACTCGTTTCTCAACCATCTGTCGTGCATTTGGTTTACGAAATAGGAGTAGACTAGTATCCTAGGTAAAGCTATCAATGAGGTTGTCGGGGTTCCTTTTTCTCTTATCCTGAAAGAAATTAAAAACTGCTCTATCTCAACATTGACTAAATAAACCTCAACATGAATAATCTACACGAACATGTGGTGGACACCAATAAATCCAATAAACTATACTTTCATTCGTCACACTTTCTTGCATATGTATAAATTTTTGTAGAGATGTTAAATCCAATAATTTTGCGTGTCATCAAATTTTCTGACGAAACGTATCCATCCCAATCAACCCAGTAGTAGACGGGTTAGTTATGATGTCTAGACAACGATTAGATGTGAGAACTGACTCAACTTTCATTTACATTCAAACTGCAGTTCTGCAATAAACTAACCGTCTACATACTTGGTTCATCCGTATACCAGCCCCTCCAATTCCTACTCGTGGGTAGCTTATTCACCTTGATCCCAAACAAAACTGGGTCTCCATCAAAAATAAATAACCCTGTGTCTGAATTCTACACAAGCAAAGGTCAGAAATTCGTTTAGATTTTTGATATAACGCATTACGAACGAAAGATTGCACATCAAAACCACGTCTCACCATATCCTACAATCTAATGGGAAAAAACAACTTTCAGTTACAAATGGAAAGAAAATGTGTACATGAGAAACTGAAAAGCTGCCATAACGGTGCATACATGTATATATATGAATATAAATATCATATATAAACCAGACCTTTCAGCTGCCACGGTTGTCAACCGTACGTAAAAAAGTCACTCAGTAAAAGTACAAACCTTAATTTTTAGATATATTGTGAAACTTTCCCTACTCTTTGTAAACTGGTCAACGAAAACTTCTCTTAGTGTGGAAATACATGTGGTGCACAAAACCTTTAAAAGCACTGATTGGTCAGTTGTAATAGCACCGATCAGAAAACATACTCAGTAATATACGTTCGGGGCAGCCTTCTTCACTCTTCATACTAAACAAGGCGTAAGGCTAAAACTCGAAATCCATTGAGTTGCATGGTTACTTTTATTTATTGGAACACAAATTTCGTACAACATGGTCACCAAGAGATGCGCCATGCAAAATGATAAAGCAATATTACGAAGAGACAGAAAACGGAGTGGAGAATGGAAACAAAAAACACAAAAGTAGGTTATTAAAGAAGTAGACTCGAAGATACATCAGAAGAAGCATTCACTACTTTCACTTCACTTTTCACTGCAAGGAGAAACATGAGTACTGCAGCATGATCGCCACTGGTTTCCATTCTGAGCCATTTCTGCTATTGTCTCAAGCCACTGAGTTGCATGATCTATCAGATCCCATCTTCAGAGCCATAAGGTGACTACAGATACCAACCCGACACAACTATCCATTATATCGATGTGCCACTTCACGCACTGGCCACTTCTCCGCTTTTTCTTTTGACCAATCGCAGGGTAAGCAAACAGTGAGCGGTGTGGCAGCTGCTGGGACGACACGCGTAACACACGTCCAAGCCACCGAAGCTGGTGTTTCATATTCAACGAATGACAATCTCCATCACGCCAAAACGTACGCCACCCCCTCAGCATTGTTTACATGGTGATTCATTCCACCAGATGCGAGCAATCCTGCGGAAACAACGGCAAAGTATTAGAGCAACGGCGAAATCAGACAACCCTGCTCAAATCCACTGTTGGTTTCCAACAACGGAGATAAGTGGCTGTGGGCCTTTATTCTACGTGTGGTGTGGAAATGTAGGCCTTTCGAGATGTTGACAACCTTCTCATGATCATCTCTTTAACAAACAATCCCAGGATATACCTCTATCCAAAGAATCGAAGGCAGTCCTAATAACGAGCACTACGACGATCATTACCCTGCGATACGCACGACAGTGTTCGAGCGTCTGGTGGAAGGTGAATGCACAATCGATGCATCTGCAGCCCGAACGAAACTCACCATGTTCCCAGCAGATCAGTTTTCCGCACGTTTTGAATAGTATGTTGGAAGGAATAGCAGCCAGTGTTTTAGATGTTGTTGGTAGCAGACCGATACCTCAATGTCTATCACATACATTATGTAGGCCCATCTTTAAGATGGGTGTAAATGCTCCAGAAAGAGTGGCTCTCCTGAATTCACCCACGCCATTAGTAGCTGCCAGCATCAATATCATCTGTTTGAGTCGAGGCCTGAGTGGCAGAAGGAGGACACCAGGCAGCGCAACGGCAATGGAAGTGGATGCTGCCTAGGAACAGATTGTGGTCTGCGAAAAGCCGCAGAATACGTCGCCCACTGCCTCAAATGCCACCAAATAAACCCCAACGACTACCTAACACAACCGACTCTTCTTTAATCATTACGAAAACATATTTTAACATAATTCCAGGACATTCTTAACAACTGTAGTCTGAATGTTTATAACTCTCCTCTAAGCCTAGACGTCGACTTATGCGCTCCAATCCCAAGCCAGCACCAGGACGTCTATTGAGCGCACCTGGGTTGCAGTCATTCGGAACATAGACAAGGATAAGGAAGAGATGTCATTTCTCATCCGTCACTTTCCTCTTCACTTCAATCGAACATTCTAGCCTAAAAGCTTCTTACTGCAGTTGAATCTTGAAGCCTAACTCTATAAAGATTTCTGCCACAATGAACGTGGTCGACTAGAGCAGCTTTGGCTCCGGCACTTGCACTACAACATCAACACAATATTAAATTCTAGTTAGCTTATCGCTTTTTGAGGGAATCAGAGAAACAAGAGAACAGTAGTTAACTTTTCGTCATCTGCAATCAAACCCATGCATTTGTACAAAACACTCAACGCTCATAAAATCATACAAAACCATTTGCCAAATCACTCCTCAATCTACTCATTTGTTTGTCAATACCATTTGTCAAGCAACTCCACACTTTCTATATAGATTTGTTTTGCATGTGTCGCGATAAGGAGAGATGAATGCATCATCACACAGTGGATGCCTACAGCATACAGATTACGATATTGCCAAAGTAGCCCGCCCATAAAAAGGCTAACTGATATATTCCACTTCGGTAATTCAATACTGGCATTCACAATTGTGTATAAACTCTTATAAAATAGATTTGAGATGAAGACAAAACACAGTGTTGCCTGTTGGAGACCCTTCAGTCTGATTAACATTGAGTAGGCTTCGTTGAGACGAGGCAACTCTCATCTCAACGAAACAGTTGCTGCTATTACCAACTGATTGCTGAGAATTATGGCGAATAAACAAATTTTGTGGGCATTAACTGTTGTTTACTAGGGTCAATTCAACAAACAGTTCTTCACTCCCTTGAGCAAAAAAACTACCTTTCATAAATGCGATATACACTAGAGACAACCGGGTATACAATGGCTCACTAGTAGGCGACCGATGTATGTAACTGCATAGTTAGTTCCAAGTGTTAAGCAATGATCGAAATCTATCGGTAGAGTTTTGCGATGTGCTCACTAAGTTGAATGATGCAACACTGCGGTGCACTGCATTTTGGTCTTTGTTAAATGATGGGAGTCAGTCGATAGGATGTCCTGGGTCTAAGTTCCGTGTTTGTCGGCCCTCATCAGCAAGACATACCAGCAACCGTGCAGAAACTGGAATCATTAAGGGAACTCCACTTTCCTCACAGTTACAAAAACATCATGCTGATTAGGGACAGTCAACAAAAAAACACGAAACCGAGGTTCAAAACCTCCTGGCAATAGGCTTTTAGTCTCTAACACCACAAGTGAACACATCGTTCAGCAAGATCACATTTGAAACGTGTGCCAACTTGCTTCATAAACAATTACTGCATGACGAGAAAAATCACGAAGCATGCATATATTCCATAACCTGATCGTTTTCTCAGTGAGTTTACTGAACTTAAAATAGAATAAATTCGTCTAGATCTCAAGCGTATTTAATTACATACCAAATCGTCACTCTCGTAATTTACTTCTTATAGTGGACATGTCTTCTTAGTTGTTCAGCTAAAATACTGAAACGAACAATTATTGACGGTAAATACGGATTCAGTTCCCTAATTCACAATCTTAAAAATAAAGTCTTCCTACACGAATAAATTAGTGACCACACAGAAAACAATGACAACAAACGTTTGCTTGAAATAAATGAAATCCGTACCTCGTTTGTGCTACTTCTATTTTCAGCAATCGGAGTTGGAAGCCTTGGTGTGCTCATTGTGTGAAGAACTGAGCTCACGAATGGCCAATGTCAATATTGGCACAAATAACTTCGGGTGTCTTGGCAAATCACTTACTATTAGACTATATCTACGTCTCCCTACCGCTCCTGAGCAAAGTGCAAAGTTTATGGGTAGGTCTATTATTAAGACATAGAGTTAAAAGAGCTGCCACCTTGTTGGAGTACACATAAATACTTACTTTGAAAAATTCAACTTATTAACTGCAAACTAGCTAACTTATTTAATGTTTTTAGATCCAGCTACCATAGTTGATCAAATGACACCAATAGGTTATGCGAACCACGCCAGCTAGGACACGCTGTCGTCACGTGATCTCTGTAAAGTGAAGTGAGAATTCACATAACATTCAGATGAAATCCTATATCCACAAAAAAGATACCTCACTAAAAATTGCATCAAAACATCAGTGCTTAGCGATTTTGACATTCGCACACTTAAAATGTAAACACCATGTAGCACAAAAGTGTACTAACTGACCTCAAGTTCACTGTGATTGGGAATTCCACTCTCAGAATTCTTCTTCTTTAGAGCGAAATAAGCTTTTCTCCATCATTTTGCCAGACTGGTATATCACGTTTCAAAAGCGCATTACTACAACAGTAGTTACAGTGGGTCAGGTAGTGTGTAAGTTCTTAAGATCAGCTATTACAAATAGGTCAAACCCAGAATTTTACGTAAAAGCATCAGGCTTGGAAGTCATAGGAAACAAGAAATATGACCTTAATTGTGCAAAAACACAGCTGATGACTTGCAAGGTTTTCCAAGCTACACGTTCAACAGTAAGTGAGGTTGTAGTGTTTCGAGTACAGTCCAATGCTCGCAAATTACGGAATGTGATATTTTATGTGAATCAAAATCTATCAATAAACGTATTTTACAGTGTACTGAACAATATTTCATCGATTTTCATCAAAAGAAGTTACAATAAGTTATCCATAAAAACTAAAGGTCACGTTCGTCAAAACGGAGTAGCAATGTGAACGTTTGAAACTGCTGATGACTTCGACATCTTTTATTTTGATGTAAAAGCAGAATTGGCTGAAGCATTTTCAACGGTTTAATAGTTGGGTGGGTTGGTGTTGCTATTCGACACCAGGGATCTCATCACTTAAAAATACCTTGCACAGCACAGTGGAACAACTTAATCCCGTTGAAAATTTAGATTTTTGATTCATTTATGAACACAAATTAGCCACCTCCCTTAACTCTCAACTAACGTCGTTGTTATAACGTCTCGAAACAACTAAGGTTTGTAAGTAAGAAAAGTTAAATTAGAAACGGTGAGGTAATGATCTGGCTCTACAAACAGACTAGCATACTTCAGAGAAATAATCTAGGGTAAATACCAAAACACAAAAATCCGTCGATTGGAATCCCACCTACCGCATGCAATTACAAATTGTAAACAGATGTCAGTAACAGGCTAGTCACAAAAACACTGTGTGAAATGTTTCCACAACCACTGCACAGTGAATAATCATCACTAGTATTGTGACATATTATGTACTACTTGAGTTTTTAACCGAAATATGAAAATACCTTTAGATGTAGTTAATTCTTCAAATGAAGATTTGAATTTCTTTTTGTCCTATGGTCACTGTCTATAAAGCATGTAGGTGGTCATTCCGGATAATAAAAAATGTGCAAAACACTGAAGCATGAACCTTGGTACTCACCTACAAGTTAACCCGTATATATCTAAATAAAAAACCACTAATGTATTTTTCACTTTTTCTACGCCGGTCAGTCAACACTTGCATGGATGACAAATCACAGAGACAGAAGATCTAGTTTTTGAGCAAAATTACATAAAAAGATTATTTAGCGTCTAGCCTTTAAGCAATCACTCCCGGGTTCGAGTCCCATTCCACCTACTTCGACGTGGACAACCGGATAGTAGTAGACACCCCGTCACACAACAAGTGTGGCTCAACGAAAATATCCCACGTTGAGTTGCATTATGTTTATTAAAACGATGCATATATCTGCGAGGTTCTACGCTCATTCTGTCCGTCTATTAAATGCACTTTATTCATCTCATTTGAGCTCAGATATTTTTATTGCACACTAAGTACGAACGTTAATCACATCTTCCTTCTATTAGGTCATGGGCTATGTTCGATAAAGAATCACACTATTCAAATGGCTGAATATACATCAGAAGCAGCTGTTTTCTTCCGATATGCAGTTAAAGCGGTTCACCGTTTATGCCCTGAACCACAAGATTTACGAGGAGTAAGTTTGCTGTATCTCACATATATCAAACTTGTCTAAATAATTACAGTGATTTGCACACTACTATTACAACTACTAACTAAATGTATTATTTTAAATAGGTATGCAGTAGAAAGTAAATTTGTAGCACACAAATATGAGCAAGCAAAATTAAGTTACTTACCTTTAGCGTTGTATTTGTTTAAATTGCGAAGTTTACCTCACAACTATTTATCATCTCCCAAGCCAGAATAGCTTTCACAATCCATGCAATATTTGATACTAACAAAGCAGACCAGAAAAAAGTTGACCATTACAGCTAGAAGGAGAAACTTTAACCGTAAATTTTTTCGGAGAATAATTTTAAGACAATCGGCTGGCTAACCACAAAATTTTATATTTAGGAACTACTAGCCGAAACCCTTATATGACCACTCAGTCTATGACGATTTATACAATCCATTCGATTCGTACTGACTTAAAGAAGGAGAGTCGTGTTCACGTTTTCGATAACATTATCGCATCTATAAGTTCTATCCAGGAGGGTTTTAACCAACAGCACTGTAAAGTGCTTGTTACTCTGCATTAATTAAGCTTCGCATTCACAACAAAGTGAAAACAGGATTGGATATATCACTCTGCCCACCGTTGGACTCGATCGATACACAGGCATGTAATTTTTAAAACAAAAACACTGTCAATTCACTGAACAAATCATTGTCATTATGATGCAATGTCAAACGAAGTCCAAGAAGTCAAGTTTCATGATAAGAGCCTATTAACTTGTTAGCGTTCATACTTTGATTTTCCAACTTTGTTCCTTTTTACAAGTAACCTTTTTCAATCTCGAAAGTTATTCAACAAAATTGCTTCCGATTGAAAGTCGATCCAAAATGAATCTGATAAATTTGAAGACTGAAAACCTTTTCGCTTTTTCGAATTCGTGAAGTAACCAAATGCGCCTTTTTCCCTTTCAACTATAATGCTATTCCTCCTACATATGATGACAACTGTTTACAGACGTGAGTTTAATCAAGTGTCAGAAAAAGTTATTGAGATAGTAAACACTGATCATACTCCACACATTAAAAGAAGTGCGATCATTTGGGAATGCTTCAAATCACTTAGCATTTTTCATGTATACAAATTTTAGGGGATTTGGTTGGTGAGGAAGAGAACTTTGAATGGGGACTAGTGAAGAAGGAACCTAGAAAGGGCTTATTCTCAAACAAAGTTAACGATCTATGCAATTAGTACAAACGTTTGGGTTAATGTATTGATACTTTGTCAGATGAAGCTATTACCTTACACTAAAATGACCAAACGCATAAGAAAGAATTATTTTAAACTTGTGTCGATTTAAGAAACCAATGAAGATCCAGGTATCTTCCAAGCACTTAGATGAAAGATATGAAAACTCAAATAAGACTCTTTAGCTTCATTTGAAATCGCGAATTATAAGAAGAAATTATGAGGCATATCTTAAGTCTATTTGACCGCTAATCTGTGTGCGAAAAGAGATTAAGATTTATGAATCATCAGTACACAAAACAATAGGAAGTGATATTTACTCACCAAGATTTTGGAGAGCGATCTGTAGATGTCCATCTTCATGAATTAAGAACAAGGCTAGCAGTCCGAATAAAAGATGGGAATGTGTTCCCCAAATTGATGATTCCCTCAGTGAAAGCAGACTGAAAAATATCTCAAATTTTAGAATCGAATTCATAGTAATATAAGATAATAAATTAAATAGGTTTTGTCCTCTATTCAAACTGTAAACACATCTTATGATGTTTGTAGGAAGCAAGATGCTGGAAAATCTCGTAAAGCAAGCATCGTCAAGAAATTGGACCTCAAGAATTTCTGAAACATGACAGTAGAAGATGTTGCATGTGAAGAAGAGGTATTTACGCAGTGTATGTTATAATGTATACGGTCTCACCGCATCATCTATAAATATCCGTTAGTATGACTGATTCGGTCGTCTTCGCATTATGCAACAAAAGAAAACATTACTTGCGATGGCTGTCATTTGTTAGACGAGCCACCTATCGAATGAACATCATAAATCACAATTTATGAAACAGACAAAAACCATCCATAATAATGGTTTTCATTTTGATAACTTGGTCAATTGCTCAAAAACACCTCCTTAAATAAGTGTGTTGGTTGCCCCGCTAGTGTTGACTTATGATCAAGATCACCCGTGGACTCGTTCAGATTTATTTTACCAGTTAGATAACGAAAGTGTTTTATTATCAAGGCCACCTAGCGAAGTTTTGACGTGATATAAAGGCCGAGAAAGTAGAAGGTGAGCCAGTGTTTGTTATTGACGAATACCCAGTGAGATATAAACTGACAAACTATGCTGACCAACCAATGAGCTTTGTATGTAGCTTAGAAATGTGACCCAACACCTATTATGCGAAGACTGGTTAAAACGATTCTCGGTGGAATAAAGAGCAATATTTGAAGTTGTACGTCAAATGCTGGATTAAATGTCCAACAACCCTTCTTAAATATGAAATAAGCATATTATTTCACATTGAAAACGAACTTTGTATCATTTCATCTGCAAACAATCCCATGCAGGGATAAGTAATTTTATACCTTTCTCATGTAAATTATGACTTTTAAATATCCTTAAAAGTACCACTTTACATTGTATTTCTTTACACAGATCGGGTTTCATGTCCACCAGTTGCATGGTGTCAGTACAAAGGCTGATATTTTGACGAATGCAGATGTCAATGGCAATTGTAAACCAGTCAAGCATTCCAGTCAATTGCCAGCTTCTCATCAACCCCAGTGTCTACAATCTAGGTTGGTGCGAACGCGTTACTAATTTAGTCATTCCTAAATATTCATCAATTTCTGTAAATATGAATAATGAAACCATACCAAAGACAAAAATCGCAAGGATTGTGTGAAATGGGAATTTGTATTTTTCAATTTTCGTTTGCTGTATGTAATTCACGGCAACAGCCATTTGCGTAGTATCTAAGAATCTATCGCTGGGTGTTTATTCTGTGCAGCAATCCGGTGTCGTACTGCACGAATGAGACCCACTATTGATACTGAACGTTAGGTTACTGCTACTCGTAGGTATCAGCATCGCTCACCAGGTGGAATCACGTAGTGAGCAAGGCTAAGGTAGAAAAGACCATGGACATGGCCGAATTGCCATAAACTTATGAGACATTATGTCAATCAATGAAGTCTTTAACTTCTTGAGGTGGATAATGGAGTGTGCGTCACACGTCACGTTGGGGATCACCAGTTGTAGACTGTAAGTGATACTGCCGAAAATCAATTTACTCATAACTAACCTTCCTTTAAACCTCAAACATATTAGTCCCGTATATTTATTTGTTTAGTCTCTCTACTCATATCCCTTTCCTTGTTTCAACTTGCTGCCGGTCTTTTTTACATGTGATTAATAAACAGCTCCGTAGCTTTGTATCATAAATTAACACCGTCTTGTTATTAATGTCGCTGAAAACACTTAAGAAAGTCAAGACAATTCCAACAGCACGCAAATAGTGAATAACCTTCGAATGCATCTGTATGACTTCGCAACCAATCCCTATTAATTTAAAACTCAACTCGATAGATACTTACTACATTAAAATCAGTTTAGCTGCCTTTTAATATAGCAAAGCCGCGGGTAGTTGCTAAAATTAAGGCAGTCAGCATTCTGCCACAATACGATACACCGTGATTATAGTCAGTAGTAGAACACGTTACCTCTATGGTTTTGAGATTCTTTTTATCAGCACTTCTGTGTGTCAGAGGACCATGATTTAGCTTTTCTCATCAATCTTCCTATTCGAGTCATTGAAGTCCCCCGAGTGTGAATAGATGCCCGTCGCAAGTCCTTTTTCAATATTCACCTACTGGAATTGTATCTTGAAAAAGATAGAAACAGAGATAGAGTCATTTACACTCGCACCCAATTGCTACCAAAGGACGCTTCGATTAACTATAAGACTTCTTTGTTTTTGGGTAATCTTTAGTTCGGATTACAGTAAAGTTCATCGAAAATGGGACACCATGGACGTGAGAAAAAGCAGTACAGTTGAATATGACATATCTGGAATCCTACGGACTATGGAGAAAACCAATCAGGCAATTGAGGAACAGAAAGCTGATGTGGTAAGTTAAGAAGTGATAACTGCCCACGAAAATACACATCTTATCCTCGCAATGAAAAAAGAGGTTGTAGAACTACTGTTGATGCAAAACTGTAAACTATTTATTCGCGAACGCTTTACAGCTACTAGATGCTGGCTGCAAGCAATTAATTGCCAAAGAAATTTCCAGTCTAGACTTACTAGTATCAGAACTTGCATAAACGAAGGTGATACATTGACTAGGGACCGCTTCGCACTAGATACTCCTAGTTTTTGCTACTGTGATGGAATACTTGTAGGTTTCCATGTAAAATTGGTAGAATACAGCATAAGAATTTGGATTTTTTTTTCAGTCAGGAGACGCGAACGAAGTGATGTCGACAACCTCAGTGAAGCCAAAAAACAATAACTCCGAGGTTTGTAAGAGATCACCAACGAAACGCACATGTAGAGGACCACCGGTGGTTCCAGTGGATAAAAGGTCAAAGACAAATCATCGAGAGTTCAACTGTAGCGATGCCTCCCGACAGAAACTTGCAGTTGCCTTTGAGAACTCGACAGGACATGAGACATCGCAAGTCGGTTGCCTTACACAGGCTCTGGAAAATCCAAGTGGTTTATTCGTCAACAAGACACTATCGGAGCTGCAACAGATCTTTGCTGATTGGATAACCAGTGAGGAAGGTAAGCAAAAACCAAACAACCATATTACAATCAAACGCTTTCGTAGAAATTTACTAGTTGAAACTTTGACACAAACTAATGAACACTTTCCTTTATGCTTTTCAGTGCCAATGTACGAAGATATTCAGATTCTCACTGACTACCTGTTGTCGCTTGTTGACACAAATTTGGAACGGATTCGTTCGGTGCTTCTACTTTTGGATAGACTGATAACAAAACTTGCGCAAATCAGCGACAGCTGGAGGAATGCATACATAAAGATGCACAACACATTATCCCAATCGATTGAAGAAAAGTACAGTGGATCGAGCTTAAAGTTACGTTTGGCTTAATGTGATATACGCTTTACACTCACTCTACTTGATGGCAAGATTTTAAATAAACTTTACTATACTGAGTTAAATGTGACTCGGCTTTTCCATAATTTCGTACAGAAATCAAAAAATGACAACAAAATTGTATAAAGTCATAATGAAGAACGGAAGACTTCTATTGTGAATCAAGTAACCACAAAACGATGAGATAGTGCAAAGAATTTATTGCAATCTGGTAAATAATCTACCACTCACACCATACAGGTAACCAGTGAAAAAAGTTAATACTCATTAAATATTTGTACATCAGAGCAAAATTAAAACACAATCATTTATATGTACAATTTACCTTCTGTGATCACGACGTCGACTAGAAACTAAGCGGTGATTAGAGTGCTCATGTGATATACGTCCACCTTCACCGTTTGGCACGGATCGCGTTAATGAACGGTGTTTACTTTTGTGTGATTTCTCATAATCAATTCGATATGCATACGGTGGAGATAAACGACGGCGTACACCTTTGGATTTTTCCAAATTAGGATGTGATGGGGAAAAACGGGGATCATCACTAATGGACGATGTTTGGGAGTCTTCTGATGAAGAACGTGGGACATGTTTACGTTTACTACTGTAGTTCTTTCTGTGATTATCCACACTGATTATCTGTCTATTGGGACTCGAAGAACTATCACCTGTCTCAGAACCAGAAGAAGATACTTTTTGTCTATAATTACGAGGTCGGGAGTTATTTGCCAACATGATAGTATTATATCTGTTTTGATCAGCTTCTCGGTCGGATGAAGATGATGGGGATATGGAGTTGTAGTGATGTTTCCTTGAGGAATATTTGTGCCGGTGATGCCGATGCCGTTTATCTGATTCTGGTTGAGATGATGGAACATTTGAATAAGCAGCTGGTCGGATGAGTGTTCGTGGCTTTACATTAGAGTTTTCATGTATGAATCTACAAAAAGACAATGGAAGTAGTTAATCCATGCATCACAGTCTAACGGTTGTCATTTAGAAACCAGCGTCTTATTTGAATTTAGTAATGCGAAAAACACGAGTCTCAGCAGAACCAATGAAATAATTGTAATATCCACTAATTAAATTCAGCATAGTTTCCACATATTATGCACACGACTAGGTCACCAAACTTTCCATAAGCACAGCTAGCAGGAAAGGGACCAGACAACGGGAGGATTATAATATCTATGTTAGCTAAGAATTTACTAGGCAAACGGATAAGATGAGTAAGACAACAAAAGATAAGTAGCATGTTCGAGATCTTGAGGAACATAAAATGTAAGTACACCCACCTACGCTACATAACCTAAACCAAAAGATTTTATGGATGGTCGCCAAGTCATACTCGAACCACTCAGACTTCCTGCAGTGTACTCCCCTCGCAGGTAAAGGTTATGTTGTGTAACATATCTCCGAACTATTAAGTTTACAAAGGCTTGCAACCCTATAAACCAATCTTTTCCCGTACCTGGTGATCTATATTCACACACTGGTGTCAACATATTGAATACTCGGATATGTGGATCGCAGAGCAACTTCCTGCAACCACAAACATGATATCTGTAATTAGATCGCAGGCACTGGTCGCAGAGAATTGGAAAATATTTTAGACTTGGAAGGGAGAAATAAGGAAATTTCACAGACTAGGAAGAACTGATGTTAAACGGATGGTGACCGATACTCTCAAGTTGCGCATACTGAGAAAGTAACTTTCTGTACCAATAAAGAAGATGGACTAGTATTGGTCATTCCGGAGGGAAAGAAGAAGTGGCAGCGATATGTGTTTATAATGGTTTCTTGAAAGTTCAGTTTCGACCCCATATTTCCGTCCCGGGGAAATTTTACCGCTTCTTTCATAATAGCATGTTGTTACGCTTGAAGCGTTTAACAGAACCGGGAAATATCTTGCGACACTTCACTGATGACAGGATTATTTGCATTCAGTCTCATCGTCTTTTCTGCTATTGTATGACTTGGAGAAACATATACTTCAATTGTCCACGTTAGAATAATTTACCACGATACACAAGCCGAAAGCGTTATCAGTTACGGTCAAATTGTCTGTCAGGATCCCAGCATATGTCTTACAGCGCATCGATGTACCTGTAATATAAATATTGTTTCTTTGAGACATATGTATTGCTGTGTTTGAGATGCCGTGCCACTTGACTTACTTCAACATGATCAACAAAGAGTCGAAATGGACTGATAGTATTCCAGGCTGCCCCAATTCTCGAATTAAATACAATGAAAATCTGTGAGAGTCAGGAGTAGAGGTTTGTTTCTAGGAGATTCTCGGCAAATAATTTAGCCGCACACGTGGCGTTCAAGCTCGAACTATGTAGTGTGCGGATTAGTGAGACTAAACGATTTCAAGACCATAATGAATGAAGCAGAGCTCAAACCTGTAGCTCAATCGTCCATGCCATAGAACTTCACCTTTAGCACTTGATGAAAAACCTAACTACGCTTCATCACTGCATGCTAACAAGGGGAACCTGCTAAATGTGGACTACAATGCATCAGTTACTTTAAACCTGGAGCAGTCAAACGTTCACTTCAGATACGCGATGGGAAAACAACAAAACACAACTACCTTTAATACTTCTACACAACTATTTTACGTCAAAAGTTCCACTCCCACTAAAATCACACAGACAGACGAAATCAGCATGGAACCTCGCATACGAGTGCATCGGTTCAAGTTGCCACACTTCACAGTAATAGTACACAAAGAACAGGTAGATAGAAAGTGACAACAAAGCAGCGCAACAGAATAAACAATTCGAAGATAATGGTTAATGCTAATATTCAAGCTTCCGAAGACACCAAAAAGTGAATACATCTGAGCCATTGTGACCGATTTTCAGCCATGTCACCAAGAGTCTTCAACCACCGATTCCTATCTCTTCGGGGATCCCAGCCAGCCAGTCTACATCTCCAAACACGGCTTAGACCAAGAGTTAGCAACTTCATGGACTGACGACAGGTCTTGGTCTGGCCACCCTGAACCCTCTCTCAACTTAATTCGGCTCCTCCTAGCAAGGCACGTCAAGATAGGCGATGACTCGGTATGTGCAACACATATACAAGCTATCCCAGTCGACTGAGGTTCATAACCTCATCAATCGACTTGCCCCAATTTGCTTAGTATTCTTCACCTAACCTCAACGCTGCTCATACGGTGATTCCACCAAACGCGAGCAATGCTACGAAGACACCTGTGATCAAAACCCTGTAATCACTTTTTGTCTCCTATTTTCAACGGTCATGTCTCACAGCCATACAAGAACGGACCGCAGCTCAGCATACTCGTCCTCTGATAGATTGTCGGATATCTCGCCAGTCAGCACCAGAAATGACTCAAGTACGCAAGTGTTAAACCGGCCTTCTGCAGCCGAGCTGTGATTCCGTCAGCAACCACCCCGTTCAGTGGACTGCTGCACCTCCCTTAGTAACTGATGTGGCCGACACATTCCACCACTTCACTCCCCATCCTTAAAATAGGGGTGATTACAGGCCAGTACCGGAGCATCGTCTTACATTTGACAGGTGCGAAACCCATACCAAATACACAACGGCTGGAAGGCTTATTCCCTCGAGGTCCTACCATGCCAGAGAGTCTGTTGGATAGTGAAAAGACGGAAAGTAGCTACCGTTGTAGTGTAAATTACTACACAATGATGGCAGTTTGAGAGAGAAGTCGTCACTGCAGGAAGGTGTTTCCCTTGAATGACCATAAGTGTCACACTGATGCTGCCTTCCCAATGGGAACCGGAAGTTAGGAAAGGTTGGCCCGAAAAGAAGAACACCCCATCTGCCCCTTCCGACGCCGGCGGTATATATTTCCACTATCCAGCGTTGGAACAACTAAACCTCAAAATAACAACCCGCAAAAGACCGTGTGACACGCCTCAAGCAAATGCCTCATTGGCTCTGTGGTCACACAAATCTCTTTCTCTTTCAGAAACCTTAAGAAGAAATAGCCTTTCACAGTTTGGGCAGCCAGGAACTGTCTAATGCCCGCACGCCCCCAGTAGTACACAAGACATAATCAAACATGACCTATCCTCCTCAACTCTGTCGTCTCCTTCGCCTTCACCTCCTGACACCAGCATTAGGCCTCTTACACCTTCCCCAACCTCTCAATTTGCAACCATTGCCTGTGATCAAAACTTCATTCCTAGTCCCCTAAAACCCCGCCATCAACTTCATGTAGGAGCTTTCAACGTCCGAACTCTATGACAGATCGGACAGCAAGCATCACTCGCCAAAACTCGGGAATCTCGATCCATGGATGTATGCTGTCTTCGAGACACGCATACAGGACACGAGTGCGGTTATAAGGTTAACCACACTGAACAATGTGGTGAGTCTTCAAAATCCACCTCACGAGTATCTGGACACCAGGTGGCTAGCCCTCGTGGACTTGCTGATGCATTCATAGCAGTAAATTGTAGAGCAGAAAGCACGCTTCTCAACAGCCATCTATGTGCTGTTCAATTGAATGGATCTATAGGAACTAGGAAGGATCGTGAGGCTAATCGATGTCTATTCATAATCTCGACCTACGCACACACCGACTGTAGTCCGGATGATGATGCAAAGGATGAACTCTATCAAAAGCTGTTGATTTGGCTACAGAAAGTAAAACATCCAGATGTAGTCATAATAGCAGGTGACTTTAACGCTCAAGTAGGAAGGCTGAGCCATTCGCAAAAGGCACCTTGGGTGTCTAAGAAATCCCGTATCAACGAACCGACAGTGGTGATCGTCTGCTGTAATCTTGCTCCGACAATCACTTGGTTCTGGCCAGCACTAACTCTAGGCATAAGGAAAGACACCTTCCTACATGGCATCCACCGACTTCAAACCAGCGATGGACACAGATAGATCAGATTGTTATAACCCATCGCTAGAGAGGATAGGTGTAGGCTTGCCTCTCTTTCTGGAGTACGTGTTCGGACTCCGATCACACGCTAGTGCGGGATCGTGTGTGTCTGAGCTATGTCGGTCGCAGGAAACAGTCGGTGGTAAAGCCTATCTATGCTCGATAGGAAGATGAGGACGCCAAATAGGTATTTTGGGAAGAGTTAGCTAAGCATATATCTGAACGTCACAACGATGCTCATCCTAAGGAAATCGGAGTCATATAAGGTTTGCTGTAGAGATAGTGGTAAAGACAGTTTGTAACCTACACCTTAAGGTTAGCAAAGGTCACTGGATTTTTTTAAACGTAGTTCGAACTGATTCCAGCTGGCTCTGACCACGATGAGAAAACATCAACAATATAACATTATTAAAAGAGAAGAGAGTCGAAACCCATTCAGCAACTAAGTGCACGCATTGTTAACAGACATATTTGTGGCCGAACTGGAAACAACTATATTCAACCCAGTTATCAAGCAGTTTAAATCCTACGGAAGGTTCGTCAGTGATAATTTCATCGGTTGTGACAAGAATTGTGACTTGCAGAAAGTAGTACAGCTTTTTTATGTCACTCATCGACGTACTGCTAACAAGAAAAGCATCTGTTTATCGAAAATCTACGTGAATCGGGCAAGTGGAAAACTTTCATGGCTGGGATCTCATCTCCCGTAAAAGCGGTTCTCGTCTAGCTTAGCTACTGATTCCTCGTTGCCTTGCTCATTTACAACTGCCTACTCACTGTGCTGCTGATTTTTCATTCCTCCATTTCAACCCATTCACTCATCTTGTCAAATATTTTCATATCTCTCGTGTAGTTCCCATCCCTGTATTATCTGCATGACCAAAAACTACTAACAATTAATTATTGATCGACAAATATTGACACCTTCATGCACAGAAACTATGTTAAGATGCGAGTGTACAGTTGCAGAGAACGTTATCGCTGAAAACAAATTTAGCCACTGAAGTCTTCAATCTTTTATAACTCGATGGGGATACTAAATAGTCAATCTGATAAAGGCTATCTCATTCTAAACTATAAGGCTGACCAAGTAATACAAAATATTTTAATTCAATTAAGTTTAGAAACAGCGAACTCGGGGAAACTATTCAACCTTTAAACCTGAGCGTGGGTGTATTGATTAGTTCCTTACCCTTTGTCAGCTTATGTAAAGAACATATTCACTAGTGACCGAAATTACCCATATTCACCTGCACTTATCGTGACACTGGACCTCAAAAAACCAAAACAATCGTGTGAAAGTATGGTTGTAAAGAGTGTCGATATCGTCCCCAGTGCAAATAGTCGAGGTCATGCAATTATTTACATCATACCATAATACACTTTTTCAGACATTTATCCACATTGTGACTGTGAGAATGTTATCCATACCTTTTAGTTAAAAAATCAACATCACAACTGATAATCTGAAAGGAAGATACAATGATGAGATCGACTGTATTAAGATGGCATTTATGAGTAAATGAATGCATCGGAACCATTACGATTAGTTCCTATTCACATCACCCAGGCGTCTTTAACAACATTTATTAATAAACGAGGATTACCTAAAGGCCTAAATTAACCTGCATAGCTCACATCAAGTAGTGATTTTAGAGCTCGATGAAACGAAACGCACTCGGCAACCTTGTGCAGTTACATGCAGTAGATGATGAGTCATGCCTATATTGTGAGAGAGTTAATGATACCACTTGGCTTTTCAAACCTCGTTACGTGGAGGGGTCTCTGAACCCAAGACCCACTGATTAAAAGTCAACTCCAAACCTATTTCAGCAAACAGAGGTTACTTAAAGTTCTTTACTTAACATCGACATTCTTCAACCGATCAGTAATAGTTTACCAGATGATGAGAGCTGTGTTTCGAACGCATCGAGAATTAACAAACAGTGGCTTTCTCAGACCACAATACTACGACTAGTCTTAAAATTACATAAGATAAGAAGTTTCACCTGACTGCATACGTAGGAAAGAACGCATTCAGACAGTCGACTGAGCCAGTAGTGTGTTTGAGTATGTCAAGTAAAATACTGGTGGGTAATGAGTGAAAGCATCTTAAACTTGGAGTGAGAAACTTACTTGTCAAGTTTCTTGTTTGTGTCACCAGACATATTTTCTGAGCGAATAGGTTCAGCCAATTTTTTCGGAGATTCCAGTGAAACTTTTTCTTCGTCACTGGGATCATGTTTAGTTGAAATAGTTGACGGATTGAAAATAGACTTCTGCGACTCGTCTGTGACTACTCCTGTCTTTGACGCCGCAATCGTTGCTGCAACGGCTTTTGCATTAGCTAAGGCGCTTGCTAGAATAGAGCTTGGAGGGAAGTTTTTATCAGGTTCTAATTTACTGTCAGAGGATTTTTTAGTACCATTTGACTTGTTTTGATTCTTTAGTTTGGATAATTGGTTTGGTGGTGATACATAGCCAAAGCTATGATCCGATCTAACACTTGGAGGTGTAGTAATGGCCTGTTGCTTTTTTGTTTCATTTTCACGTTCCTTAGCCTCCATCTGAGATTTTCTGAGCTGTGCCAGAACCGACTCAAGCTTTGCAACATCTGCTTTTGGACGGGCGTATAAACGCAGCAAACACAAAGCTATTTCATTTACAGACTCCTCGCTCACACTGAACATTTCCCACCATGCCGGATGGCGGGGCAGTGGGATATTGAGCCTACATGATGCCAAGTAAATGCAACCACATGCTATTGCTTCAGGCAAATAACGGACAAACATATCAGTTCGAAGACTGTCATTCATGTAATTCCTGAAATATAAGTAAAGCATTAAGTAGAAACAGACGATGGATTAGATTAAGCAATAAAAGGAAAAAACGATCCATACAACAAATCGAGTGGCCCATCTACTGCATGCTTAATGATGTACAATTTGAACCACACTTCACGACACAATTCCCTTTTGAAGCACATATCTTGCAGTCATTCCATAAATCTGTGACTTGACTACACGATATCACAGTAGACAATAGTACATTGGTTTTAACCAACATAATTTCGGAACATCTTCGTAGACAGATTTCTGGTAGTTAAACTAAAACTTACTGAAGATAATCATACAATGTGCATTACTACACAAAATGCTGTGATCAGTAGATCAACTTTCAACCCTGCTAAACATAATCCGCATGCGACATAAAAACAAACCTTGTAATCGACCCATGAATCGCGATTTTTTCTTTGGATCGTACTTTTTGATGCGCTTCTCCAAGAACTAAGTATTAGTCATGTGTAACTTACGCATCATATGCACGCATGAACGATAAGCTATATCTACTGCTGGACGCTTAATCATGTTGCCTGGAGGCCTAATCCTCAAGAAATACAGGTTGCATACTTATGATACATTGGCTGGTAGGTGATTGCAAACCATTGAACCGAAGAGCCACTTTGGGTGTGACCGTAGGCATTGATACCAGTTCAACAAAACTTTGTTCACTATGCCTATAATTCATTTTTACGTAACATGGATACCATTTCACATCACAAAATGGTTAAAGACGTCCTCATACTCAACGCACTGTGGCTAGGTAATTACCATACAAACTCCACGTGCTATCAATCAATTAATACCAACCTAGGGCCAGGCATTACTGCGTAACGGTCCCAGTTGCCACAACTCATATCAGTACATCAAATAGAAAGGTGGTGAGGTGAAGGATGAAGATAAGAGAATGCAGTCAAAAGAAATAAAAAGTACTCAAAGACAGAGAGGAAGAATAAGAAAGTGGTGAGGTTCGGTACAGCGTCGTTAAGATGAGGATAATGTGTGTACACATCTGCGCCACCGACATCGGTTCTCAGCCATATCACCTAGAATCTCCAACCACTGGTTCCTCTTGTCCCGTGGACCCCAACCAGCTAATCTACATCGCCCCATATGACTCAAACCAACAGTCAGAGACTTCATACATTGGTGCCATGTTTTAGTCTGGCCACCTCGGACCTTTTTCCAGCCTGGACCTACTTCAGCCAACATTGTGTGGCGAGACAATCAGTGACTGGGCATAGGTAGTACGTGTCCCAACCATCTCAATCGATGAAGGTTTATAACCTCGTCTACTGATTTACCTCAGCTCCCTAAAACTCTAAACCTAACTTCTGCATTACGTGGTGACACTACGGAATACGTTCTATACCACGAAGGCAACGGTGGTCAAACACTTGGGGCCTTCATATGTTATACAGTTGTAAAGTACTGTCAAAATAAGACAGTCTCATGTGTATGAACCGGAAAGACTGCATAATATTGCACTCTTTACTTTCCAAAAGCAGAGAAAAACTAACACTAGGAATTTGGGTTATGGAAATAATGATCTCGATGACAGTAAATACACCAATAGACGCACGTCTAACAATTTAATGGTTAGAATTGAAAATATCTCCTCGAACGATGGACTTTTAGGTATGTCACTGGGCTTTCTAATCAACTACTCCCAACATCACGAGAACCCGTCACAACCTACTTTCCCATACGGTCTAAGCCAAAGATAAGTGACTTCATAAACCAATATTATTTCTCAGTCAGATAAACCATCACTTCAATCCAGTCCATCAGCCGTTACTAAAAACGAGGTCTGGTACTGTTGCTTACCAACCAAAATTGCCACACCTGAAATCAGTACATCCAGTAGCAAAGTATAAAGATGAGAGAGCAGAAAATGCAATCAGGAATCTTAGAGCTTCGTGAGAAGGAAGAAATATGGGGGTTAGACAACAACAAAAATACGATAGGATTAAGATTAGGATAATCTGTGGATGGATATGCGACCGATTCTGAGCTTTATCACTTGAAGTGTTCAACCGTCGGTTTTATCTGCTAAATGGGCCCAACTAGCATGGATTACACGGCAAAGGTCAGTAGTCAGGTGCTTAAAAGATTGGTGCTACGTCCATTTGTGATCGCCTCTAAACTTTTCAAGCCTGAAACTATTTCAGTAAACATTGTATGATGAGACACGTATTGACCAGACATGCAAGACAGATGTCTAACCAATTTCTGTCGATGAAGGTTTATAACCTAACTAACCAATTTTACTGAAAGCTCCACACCTGGTTGACGGGGTGATTACAGAACACAGCAAACACTAAGAACGCAACTGCGGTAGAACCCATGAAGCCGTTACATGTTCTGCACCTTTAACAGCCACGTTTCATAGTCATCTAAAAGGGAAACGGGTTACCAAGCAATACATTTACCCTCCAATGGACAGTTCGAAAATCACGGCGACACAACAGATGGCAATAAACCAAGCGAGCTTCATGCATTCATGTAGAGATTTCATCTATTACTGACCCACTAGGACTTATGACTTCCCAAGTAGGTGAAATGGTCAACGTTCTCAACCACTTGCTTCTCTACAGAAACCGTGATATAAATCACGGAAAAACAGTTTGTATTTAGGTGATGAGGAACCCATTACAGAAAGTTACAGATTGTAAGGTACGTTGTCCACAATGTTGTATCATGTAAGGATCGCCTAGTGGGAACGCCATCAGCATAGAATCGAAATCCACCCAACAACCTTGCGCATATTCGTGCAGTAAGCAACGAGTCACATCTACTGTGAGGGTTAGTGACATTAGATGGATACCCAAACCCGGTAGGTGGGGTGTTAGGACCAGAGGCTTGTCGGTTGGAAATTGAGTGCCTAAACCGAGTCACACTTCTATTATCATCTAGGAGCCCTCAGTGTCTAAGTCAACCTCTACGGTCAGAATTGAGGGGGATCTACGTAAGCAAGTCAATAACAGAAAACAATGGAGAGTAGACACCCTCAATGGACACCAGTCGACCTCACCAAAGGCACTAGTGTGTCTGCAGGTATGGAGCACAGCTGGGGGGTTCCTGTGTTTCAAGACTTAGTAGAACTTAAAACCGCAGAATAATTCGTCGTTATTCATTGCGAATACGTCCTCAGCCTAAACATAAAATGCTTCAGTTACTAATCCATGAACCCATTAATTCAGAAACAGCTTCTGAGATCCACCGACCCACTCTAACGTCGAAGTCATTTTCGGTCCTTAACGCCGTTTCAACGGTAGACTGCGGCACCAAGTTCCTTCAGAACGACTAACTATGCTGGCTTTCGATAAATGTCTAACCAACTTCTCTCTGAAAGTATCCTTGGTATTGTTTATTATCGAGCCGCATTCGGACCGGTCATGAAACTATAGTTTGGGTACAAATGGTCACGCTAGAATCAACGCGTGATCAGCCTTGACGAATGCCATAGATGTGACAACCTTCTTAAGCGATAATTAATTGCACAGTGGTCCGCGTCTAGTGGTTGTACAGCCTAGAATACTAGGTACGGTTCGTCTGTAAAGACCAGTAAAGGAGTTTCCCATTCTTGAAGCCTGAACTAATAATAGGTTGGAGTCAGTCAGTGGGATCAGATCTAGTTCCCGAAAGTCAGCTTCAGTACGTCCAACTACCTTATGTAACTGGACTACTTAACTGAAGTTATCTAGAACAGACAGTTAAAATAATGTGTCTCAGCAACACGTTAGATTTTCGTCAAAAACATGTTGACAATTTTCTGCTTGTAAAACAGCCGACTTCTCACTTAGAATCCTGTGATCATCCCGAAGCTCGTTGACCCAGATTTCTGAGCATTCTCCATCTGAAGTAAACTGAAACATTTAAATACGAAAGGTGGTTACTTTGTACTTCCCTTTACTCACGAATTTATAGGGATAAAAGTATACATTAGGACTGCAAGTGTGGGACCAGAGATTATATTTCTTTACATATGTGAACCCAACGTGTACCGCTCGACAGCTGAGCACATAAGGAAATGTAGCAATAAGATCCTTTCCGTAGACGTAGTAAAACGCCTGAGTTTATTCAAACTACCATATTTCATTCCAGTCAAACGTCCTACGATACTTAGACATGGTTTAATCTACATGAACCTTTACTTACTTGGTAACTTATACGTGTTAACTATACACTAACTCAAAATATGGCCGTTGTAACGAAATTATGTAGGAAACCCACGTGAAACATGGCCCATCATATTCATTCTTATTTCCTTTCAGTCCACATACTCTACTGAAATGTTACAACCAGTATGACAACACTTGTCTTCAACTCTAGCAAAAACTTCACAGAAAATAGTGAATACAATGACAACCAAATTCAAATTAGTTGCAGAATAACGGTATTACACTCAGTAACTTTGTCGGGAGTTAACAAATACTAACTGCAAGTGTGAGGTAAATCAATCAACTAATAGCATTACTTCCTGCAAAATACGTGGAGTTATACTCACCAAGCAGTTTGAACGAGACTTTTATTTCCTTCGTGATCCAGAGCCTGCAGGTAGCATATAACAAGCTAAACAGATTATTAACAACCACAGTATCTACCTTGTGAGGGTGTTTGGCATGCACACAAAATCCGAGTTCTTTTAAAACACGACGTTCAGCCTTAATAATTTGATTCTTCAGATTACTATAGCTTTGATCAAGAATAACGGGTGTTGGTGTTCTAGAAAAAACATGACAATAAAAATCACTGAAGTACTTTTTTTCGCGGACCTGTCGGATGTGGTGGAAAACGTTGATAACATCTCGTATTCGTCTAGGAGATTCTTCGAGCTTTGCGGCCAGAAAGATACAAGCCATTGCGTAGTGCTAAGTACAGTCACAAAGAACACAGTACTTACCTCATAGAAATGTCGTACGAACGACTTGGAGTAGAAGAACCGCTGATACAGCACTTGTGCAGTAGCCATGGCTACTTGCGGTAGCCGAAGTAAGATCCCCGAATCTTGGATCAGCTCACACCCGACTATCCTTAAATCAACTTCAATTTCGTAATCCATCTTGTCTAACTGAGAAGGAGTTGGAAATAACCGTTCCTCAGGGATTATAATATTGTGGATAGTCAAATTCACACCACAGTATTCCCAACTAGGGTCAGGATGTTTGTCTGATTGCAAATTATTTTCTGCAGCCATTACTATACCGTAGTTTTAAAATGCGTACTCAGGACGTTGTCTGCACAGTAAAACAAAGCAATAGACAATTAGGAAAACAATTCGCTCGTTCGGCCTTTTTAATCCCTTCACTTTTACAAAAGTCTTCGTCTTGCAGCAGCAGCATGCTATTGTCCATTCAGTTATACATTTGTATTACTAGAAAGCACTTTTCCAGAAAGACGCTCCGTTTATTCTTGTCTCAGGAGGTGTACAAGTACAAATATTTTGATGAGTACCATAATTCAGTTCTTTATTGGTGTTATTGCCTCTGTCATTCGTCAATAAGATGGATGGCTTCGCGAATACATTACATCTGAACCACTTTGTTATAAGTTAGCATCCAATACGCTCTAAAACTATTAGGACAAGAGGCTGTTGTTAACCTGGCTTGCGGCCACACAAACAGTTCGGAATGGATCTTCATTTCTCATGCTGTACTCCTGAAATGTGCCTCTGATAACACAAATAAACTGAGGCTCTCCGGCATTACTCAACTTCTTCTTTTACGATATGTTAATTCCTACATTTTACCTGTTCTTCTCTATTGATCCCCGCTGGTCTTTCCTGGTCTACTCAGAAAACGATCGTTGTATTGCGTAGGGCTTTAAAAGCCCTCAGTAGGGTGGGTGCTGTGCCTCTGGACCAACTGATTAACACTATGGTTCGGAGGTGTTTAAATCCTAGCGAGCAGCTAGCTATAGTAATTTTAACTCGAACCGTTACGTAGTAATGCCTGGTCCTAGGTTGATCTGGATGGATGGTAACTTTAACTGACACCTAGCATCAACTTCATTCACAGCTCTCTCCTTGTATCACCTCAAGGAGGACAAGAAGGAACTACGTAAGACCGTACGCTCGTACAGCCAAATACAAGGATTCGACTGTACTTTACCTAGTACACATATTTTGTGAGGAAAAACGTGTAAGAACAGAACTCACATATCGGCATTGCAACAGTTAACAATCTCACTTCAATAATTTAATTAACAACGTAAAAATCTCTCGTCATTAATGTTCTCTGCATCACCTAAATTTTTATAATAACACAATTAGAAATGTTGTAAAGGAGTATATAAATACACATGTTTTGATGCTGTTGCAATAGACCGTGCTGTGGATTCTATATTGTATTAACAATTGTTTGGAATAAAGTGGATTATCATTATTGTTACATTGGTGGAGGGTTATGTACGCTCACTCACCTACCCCATACAAGCCTGCAAATGTCGAATGGGAGAATTTGGCTACTTTTGCTGGCAGGCGGTTCCGTAATGCACACAGACAGTGAGAAGGGAGGTTAAATCTAACTCTTATCTTAGCCGTGCAGACAGGTTTCTGTTAGATGATCCATCTTGATCCAATAATTTTGCCCTGTAGGGGTGGCCCACTTGGTATACAATTCTGAAGGATGTCGTCAGGTCGCATCTTTCCTTCTGACAGTGTTAGGTGATCACGTTGGGTTGTCTAAGGTGCTGTGTGCATGTTTCACCTTTTTAGTTCAGCAGCACGCTGTCTAGCTCTTATCTGAACATTCTCTAAATTTTTTGGGTCCTTCTTGAATAGGGAGGGTGTGTCATGATGGGCACCTACAAGAGCGGTCTACTGCCAGTTTCTAAGGCCATGAGAAATAACTCAGGGCCACGTAGCCAGAGTTGCCTCCTCAGAAGGTGCGTGACGATCCTTGCCCCTGACAATATCCTTTTACAGGGGCTATTGGTAGTTAGTGCATTAAAAAAGTTCGGCTTTAGTTCCTTCACATTGGATATCCTGGTGACAACACAGTTGCTGAGGGTGCAGCCTGCTTTCACCACTCCTGGTGTCCTAAGACATACCATCTTTCCTTTCTTTAGGTAGAAACTCAATAATTTGAAGCTGCCAGGGACTCCATCTGGAGTGGACCATCATTGGGCACCCTAAGCTCTTCTTCTCTTTGTGTTGTCATCCACGTTTTCACATAATTAGCAAACAGAGGGATGGATTGCAGGACTTAAGTCAGAGGCTGACTGGTGAACAGCAGACCAGGAGACAGCCCAGAATAGTCCCTAGAAATGTCCCAATCGTCTTCCTCCTCCAGACTGACCAAATTTTCCTATGGTCTGCAGGTTTATTTTCAGACAATCTACGAGTGATTCAGTGACACTCATTTCTGTAAGTTTATTCAGCGCAGGGCTGTATGAGACGCTACGGAGAGCCTGGCCTGGGTCTAGGCTTTTCGGTTTCTTACCTTTAAAATGGGTGTAAACATAACGCGCTTCAGTTTCTCAGGGGGGGGGGTCAACTTCCAGTGAGTGCGTAAATGGGTCGTATACGGGTACGCTCAGTGCTTTGAGACATTTCCTTTACACCAGTGGTTTCATGTCACATAGGCCCAAAGATTTTACCTAACCCTAAACGGTGTCACGCTACTGAACGTTGGTGATGAACAGGGTGTTGTAGTGAGCTGATGGTCAGGAAGATTATCCAGCAGATTTGCTATCACCCTGTCACTCAGTGTTTCACTGTTCGATCCTGTGATGGGGCCAACAACTTGATTTGTTAGTTTTCGTTAAGAAAGAAACCAGTGGAGGCATTCTGAACCGCGTCTGGGCAGCCTAATCGGCCTACTCTGCAATTTCCAATAAAACCACTGTTAATCGGGCAGTTAAACTTCTTCAAAGCATTTTTAGTTTTAGTGCCCATGCATTTCTAACAAGGTCTTTAGCAGGGATAACAGGACTGACTATTTGTCTGCGATCAACCTATAACCGCTACACACCTTTTATGACTGCCAGAATAAATACTACCCCACATTATTACTTGGTCTCAAGGCGTCGGATCACAAGGAGCTTGGTCCTTCGTGACGGTAATGGAGCAGTTATAATACTTTCCCCTCAGATACCTTTCCGCCGTACCGAGTTTCACGAGATAGTAGTTCTTAACGTAGTTGGCCGCACAGACTTATATTTGAAAGCGGTGCGCTAAACTATAGCTTTCCGTCTGTTCATCCACTTTAATAACACACTCCTGGTAATGGATGAGTATTTCTGAACAGCCAACACAATAGACAAGCGTTACAACAGCGGTTTCTGGCTGCTTTAGAAGGATTATTCAGGTTTCACTTGACACTTCCATGTTCAACATAATGCACCTTTCTATATAGTCTACTTGTTCTGTTCGTAACATAAGTCTTGATGATTGTTTTATCCTAATTGTGTTTTTCATAACTCAGGGAAGAGAAAATGGATCAAGACACGACCTGAAGATTAAGGGTGTCCCACGAAATGTCTTGCATGTACATACATATTCATATATTCGTGTTTATATGCCTGACAGCAGTTAATCCCACAGCCTCACTCACCATAAGTTTTTTTTACGTACTCTCCGATTTAAATTAATATACTGTGTCTGAAATCAACGCTTCGTAATTAAAAACTGTCACAATCATATGAAAATAAAAAATAGGACGCAGCATTGCCATTTGGAAATGCCAACTTTAAAGTCCCGTGGTTTCTTTACGCTGCGAATAGCTCCACAGGCGCGAATAGTTACTCCTTAATGATTTTTACCTAGGAATTTTGTCATTCTGAAGAATGGCTACGGGATCTGAACAGTTTACTGAAGTTGAAGGACAGCTGTCAGAAGATAAACCCCTGAAAGCGTATTAGGCACAGAGATAGAATCAACTTGCAGGCTTCCACCTATCAACATGCCATGCTTGTTTTGCGCCACCGAACAATTTATTGTCCGTGTGAGAACATGGAACAATTAGTCCCTGCCATGAATTTGGACAACGTGATTAGAAGACGTAGATTATCTGAAAAATGTGGTGTATTGGTGCTATGCATTTCGAACCATCTTATCACACATTTGATTGTTGAGGCATTATATATGAAAACTGGAGGTGGGGGAGGGACAAATATGACATAAGGAATTCGATAATAGGGAAGATAATGGGAGGAAAAAAGATAAGATTTGAAGTCAATCTTGACAATATGCCTTAAGTAAATGTGTGATAGGACTGTTCGAAACGTATAGCACTAATACATCATATTTTCAGATAATCTACATCTGATTACATTTTCCAAATGTGTGAGAATACTCATGCAGTCCGGCTTAGAATAATATTCAGCGTTGGGTGTGAAAATGTATTATTGTCAAGGAGAGCTGAACCAAGGTTGCTAGCAGGTTCGCATCCTCACCGTCCCAAGCAAATTTACCAAGCAATTGGATAGTGGGGAGGAGTAGATTTTGTATCATTTGATATTTTGAAAATGTTCTTCCCATAGATATTGCTCAAATAGTTCAGTCGGATTCCTTTAAGCGCAAAACCATCACCTGCCTGACTCCTCAGTATGAACTGAAGAACCTATTTTGTCGCCAAGATGACTCTTTTCCTTCACACGCTTGGGTTTTCGGAAACACAGAAAACTGATCAGTTGCTTCCGATAGCAGCTGAAGTCGACTGAAGCCCTCCATTCCACCATTAGGCAAGTGAAACCAGTTGAAATCATGGCCTGCAATGCACATGCGAAAGGATGCTAACAAGCTTCAGAATCATCACCTCAGCCTAAAGTGAGTACTTAAGAGATTCATATTGAAGGAAAAGACAAAAAATGCACAAGAAAAATATCCGGTTAGTTTATTTAAAATGTTGGTCAAACATATACCGTAAGTAATCAGTACCACGTATTCACAGTGGGACGAGTAGAAAAGGTAGATGGCACATGCAGGAGCTGGTGCATAACATGCTGTATATGGACAGTGTGGTCGGGTGAGTTGCCTGTGGCAGCCAATAAAGGGACATAACTAGCAACGCGAACGGTACATGAGATCATCTTCCTGTAACATATATAACGGCAGCTGTTGACATAAACTAGACCGCCTCATGGATTTTGATGGATTTGAATCTTCACGTTATCACCACATCTGCGGGTCATTCGTTTGCGCCATTCTAGTTTTCACGATCTCAGGATTCATAGATATTTGGGTTGCTCCAACCTTTTGACTATTTTCTGAATATTTTCCTGATGAGCTCATCTGCT